CAAAGAGGAGGGTCAACACAGAGGAATCATTTCTTCCATGCTTCCAAGCGAAGCCAACCATGATTGAGTAGGACCTTTGACTTATCTTCACATAGATGGAACTGGTAAAAGAAAGGAGCCAAGGGGCTCCTCCCAAGCCCATGTGACCCCTGAGGAACAGATGCTCAAACAACCTTAAGAGTAAAAATAAATCAGTTTATCTGGTCCAACTGTATGGTCTTAAACTCCCAAAAGGAAAGTATAACCAAAGATTAAATGGACCAACATAATTTCATAAGAGTCCATCTGCATAGCTAAAGGCTACATAACAAGCAACAATGCCAGATAGGAGATACTATCTTTTGAGCTGTTGGCCAGGGTGGCCAAAGGGACTCCCAAATAGTAACCCAGCATAGAACTGGGAAAATGAACAGCAGACCCTAATCTTATCTAAAGGAGTATTGACAACTGATTGCTGCTAGAAGAGGAAGAGCTGACCCTCCTAAAACAAAGACCTCTAGATAGGCTGACTAGATTCACCAGAAAGGTAAGTAGTGGGGATTGGCTGGGGTGCCAACACAGCAGACAGTAGCAGGAATATTAGAATATAAGTGCTCTAGTTGGGGAAGGGAGGCTATGGGAGGGTGTCAACTGGGAAGTGGGTATATAGTCGAATAAGATAGTTTGGGATGTTCTGTGTGATACACACGCACACACACACACACACACAAATCAACAATTTTTTTAAAAATGTATTATATTTGAGGAGGAAGCATGGAAATTTACATCATGTTAATCAGTGATGGTGATAAACATTACCATTGAAATCTACCCGATGGCTTTACAGACATACGCAGGTGCCAAGGATCCAAGTGCAACCAATTAGGACTAGTAATAATCAGATACATACAGATTAGAGATGCATGCACTAACATCTCAGTGTCAGTAGAAAAAACAATGAGTCTCTCTGAAAAGAACAGTATATTTAAAATGAAATGGAGATCTTTTTAAAGGTTAAAAAAACATTCAATTTTATGTCTTAGAGGACTTAAACTGAGTTCAATATTGTGTAACTGCAACTAGTAGGGATTGGCTGGGGTGCCAACAACACAGCAGACAGTAGCAGGGATATCAGAGTATAAGGGCTCTAGTTGGGGGAGGTAGGCTATGGGTGGGTTCTACCCAGGAAGTGGGTGTATAAAAAAGAATTCTTCAAAGCATATAAATTTGCTCCTTATTAATTAGTCAATGTGAAAAACATTACCATTGAAATCTACCTGATGACTTTATATCCATGTTCAGAAGCCAAGGAGCTCAGAAAGTAACTGACCGTCACTAGTAATAATCAGATATATAGAGATTAGAAATGCATGTGCAAACATCTTAATGTCAATTGCATTGAAAATGAATTTTTCTGTATGAAACTGTGTATTTTAATAATGATCTTTTTTAAAGATTAAAACGTCATTTAATTTTATGTCTTATACGGTTTGTACTGAATACAATATTGTATTGTAACAATTCAACTGTAAACCTAAAAATTTACAGCCAATTTTGAAAAATATGTATCTTAGCTCTGGAAATTGTTATGAATATGTCACTGCTGTTGTAATGAAATGCTTCTTCTAAGTATGTGGTTATTAAATAAATAATTAACTGGAAAAAAAAGAGAACAACAGAGCTGTAGAATAATAAAACAAATAAATTATATTTAAACAACAACAACAAAAAAAGATTGATATTTACTCATTTATTTTTGTCTCTTTGAGACAGGGTCTCCCTGTAGCCACTGCTGGCCTGGAAGTTGCAATGTAGATCAGGCTGGTCTCAATCTCTCAGAGATCCGCCTGCCTTTGCCACCCAAGTACTGGGATTAAAGGTGTATACCATCACGCCCAGCTAAAAAAGATTTATTTATTTTTAGTATATGTATGTGTCTGTGTCTGTGTGTGGGTATATGCATATGAGTGCAGGTAATCACAGAGGCCAGAGGTATCAGATCCCCTGGAGTTGGAGTTACACACAATTAGGAGCCACTCAACATGAGTTCTAGAAAGCAAACTCAGGTCCTCTGTAAGAACAATATGCACTTTTAATTGCTGAGTCATCGTTCTAGTATCCAAATAATATTTTTCAAAAGTGTGAAGAACATTTAGGTCTAAGAAAGCAGTGCTCATGTAGCTCAGAGTCATGATAGTGATTTTTATCTTGAACAGACATCATCTTTATGCAAAGTGCTTAGAAGGGATCAATCGGAAACCTTGCTAGCTTTTATAGAAAGAGCACACCATGCACAAAGTCTGACAGACAAAACAGAATGGAAATAGTAGGAAATAGAAATGTTTTTAGTTATTTATTCATCTCTGTGTGTGGGGGGGCAGACCTGAAATCAACCTCAAGTGTTATTCCTCTGGAGTTGTCCACCTTGTCTTCTGAGACATGAATCTGGACCTTCCAATCAGGTTAGGCTGGCTGGTTGGCACACCAATGAGTCCTGTCTGTCTCTGCCTCCTGAGTGCTGTGATTACAAGTGTACACCACCATGCTCAGTTTTTAACATGTGTGCTAAGAATCAAATTCAGGGCCTCAAGCTTGCATAAAAAGCACTTTACATACTGAGCTATCTCTCCCCATTCCTGAAATATGGCACTGTTGCTTTAACGATCGAAGAGGGTATTTAAACTATGATTAACCTATTGAAGTATCTAATGGAAATGGCAGTAAATATGTATATTGGTTACTTTTCTGTTACTGTGATAAAATATTATAACAAAGGCAACTTACAGAATGAAGAGTTTATTTGGGCTCATGGCTCCAGAGGGTAAGGGTCCAAAATGGTGGGAGGCATGGCAGACAAGAGAGTTCACATCTTCAACCAAAAACATGAAGCAGACAGCAAACTGGAAGTGTGGAAAGGCCTCGGACTCTCAATCCCCCAGTGACACGCTTCCTCCAGCAAGGCTGCCCCTCCTAAAGATTTCACACACCCCTAAACAGCCACCAACTGGGGATCAACTGTTCAAAAGCCTATGGGGGACATTTCTCATTCAAACCACAATATTCAAGATCAGCTAGGTTCTCCTATTTTCTTACACTTTTCGTCTATCTACAGAAATTAGACAACCAAGAAAAACTATGAAAATCGTGTTCCTAGTTCTCAGCTGGCAGAGATTTTGCTCCCCAGAGGGAACAAAAAGGGATGATTATGTCACCCTAGTGGGTATTTACCTGTCAGTGAACAGAGGCTAGATACTGTTAAACATCCTACCCTTCACAAAACAACCTCCTACAACCAACATTTATATGGCCAAAAATGTCAATATAGCAAAAGCTGACAAACCTTAATCTAAAGAAACTAGCATAAAAATGTTAATTGATAAAAATAGTAAATTGGTGGACGATTTAAAGTAGAGTAGTAAAAAATGGTCAATAGACTCAAGAGAAAACAGAAAAAAAAAAAACAGGACAGGTCAAATAGAAAATATTTATCAGAATGGCAAATTTTAGTTCAAGCACATAAATAAGCATATTAACAGTGAATGGTCTAACTTTACCAGTTAAACTAAAATATGGTCTTAACAGTGTGGCCCATGCTGGCCTAAAACTCAGTTTTCCTGCCTTGCCTTCCTGAGTACTGACTGGGATTACAGGCTTGTTCAACCATACCTGGCTTTACATGGCATTTCTTTTCCTGTGTTTCACTTTTATGTATGTCTTATATTTAAGTGTGTTATGCTGGGTCTTTTTAAATGTGTTCTGACAATCTGTGTGTGAAATGGGGATACCAGTAATCCATATTCCATGAAGAACTACAAAAATGGTGCTTTGCAATGGCATACAGTCCCTATTACTTGTTATAATGTAAAAATACGTCAACTACACATCTATAATCTCCCACTCTGGACCAAGAGACAGGAAGACCCTGAACTGAGTTCAATGCCAGTAGGCTATATAGCAAGACTTTGTCTCAAACAAAAGAAAACAAACAAAAGCCAGTTGTCATGAAAGCTTCATTTACTAATAGCTTACTTCCTTACTTATAATCAAGTCATATTAATAAAAACTTTGATAAAGATATATACCAGATTGACTAACATAATGCCAACAGCAAAAAACAAACAAAACAAAAAGAACTACAAAAACAAATTAGTCAAAGCACTCAGAAGACTCTAAAAACTAACAAAAAGCAAAATGACATAACATGTTAGCTATACCTTGCACAGGAATTTCTCCGTAGTTTGATCTCTTATCTGACAAGGCTGTCAGAGGCTTGGAGGTTGAGATTGGTCCACTTATGGAATGTCTCTGAAATCATAAGATAAATAATATCAAAATTATGTTAAATCTACAACTGAGACTCAATAAATGTTGCTGAGAGTAAATATTTAGCTATGAACACACATAATTCCTTTATTCTGCCATTTACGGTTATAAGCACACATCAGACGCATATAGTATCATCAACAGACTAAAAAAAATTAAACTTACTATGAGATGAACATAGAGCCCTATGCAACTGTAAGAAAGAATATGGATAGCATATTCCTGACTCAATTTCCTCTAACAGCAATGCCTTATAAATCCGTGGTAGAGCATACACCCAGAATACTGACACAGTCAAGATACAGAACACTTCCATCTCCACAAGGAGACTTCCTGGGGTCCTTTTATACTTACACCTGCCTTTCTGCCCCCAGACCCCATATCACTAACTCCCAACAACCACTGCTATTCTAGTCATAATTTAATTATTTTGTTTAAAGAGAATTCTTAAATGACCAGACGCCAATTTGCTAAATACAAAATTAGGTTCCAAAAAGGCCTCAATTTTATCAGCCATTCAATTATTCTACAACTGCCCTAGCACAGCCTGTGGTTTTTAGTTCAGCACCACTGCCACCAGCACTATCACTAGTTTCCTTATCCCCAGATTTAGGCACACACAGCAGCCAAAATTCCTATCCTAATGACTCCAACCTATAAAATAAATGATAGTCTGTCCATGCCTTTTTCCATTTCCTCAGCTTTCCGCAGCCCCTTTTCACCCAGCTAACTTCCAGTTACCTGTTTTACTCTCCCAAAAGAACTATGCAAGAAGTCCACCTTTTCTATATTTTATACTGCTGCCTTTAATTTTGGCAATTCTCAATGACATGGACTAGTATTTCACTGTGGATTTCATTCCCACTTCCTTGGTGACTAATGACACGGAACAACTTTTTATGTGCTCACTGCTCATTTTTATATCCTCTGTTGGGAAGGGTCCTTTCAAATTGCTTGCCCATTATTAGGGTGCTGTCTTCACGTTACTGAATGCAAGTCTTTTAACAGATAAACAGGATGTGACTGTATTCTCTATGTATAATATGCCTGTGCACTTTTTTTCATGTCTTTTTTGGACAGGTTTTTAATTTTGATGCCCAATTATGGTTTAGGTTTTTTGTTTTTATTTTTTAATATTTTTATTTTATATGTTGGGGCTGGAGAGATGGCTCAGCGGTTGAGAGCACTGACTGCTCTTGCAGAAAACCCAGGTTTGATTTCCAGCACCCACATGGCAATTACGAATCATCCGTAACTCCAGTTTCAGGGGAATCTGAAGCTCTCTTCTGACCTCTGTGGCACTGCATGACATGGGTGCACTCACACGCATGCAGGTTTTTTGCTTGTTTTTAAGACAGGATCTCACTGTGTAGCACTGGCTGGCTAAGAACTTGCTATGTAGACCAGGCTGGCCTTGAACTCACAGATATTTTCCTGCCTCTCAAATACTGAGATTAAAGATGGATAAGATGGGTGCCACTACACCCAGCAGTTTGTGTGTGTGCGTCCTAACTAAGAAATCTTTTTATTTTCAAAGGTTACAAAGATTTTTATTAATGTTCGTGCTTTAAGTTTTATATATAGTGTTAACATTTAAGTTTATTAGTCATCTTCAGTATGTCATATGGATAGCTGGTTACTTTGGAATCTTTTGTGGACTACCCCTTCCCTCATACTAACTATCTTGGCAATTTTGTGGAATTTCCGCTCACCTATTTCTGAACTCTACCCACCCTCTCATCTCTCTTCATAGAGATGTGATGTTAGTACCACACATACTGTCTTGACCACTCAACTTTAAAGTATTAAAAACATCAAATTCTACAAATTTCCCCCTCCAAATGTTTTACATATTCAAAGTCTTTGTATTTCCATATAAATTTAAAACTATCTTGTATTTTGTTGAATTCTATTAAAGATCATAAGATTTTGTTCAGGCAGGATCTACTGCATTACTTACTGTATGACAAAGTACCCCAAGACTTTATAGTGACTTTAAAACAATAAACATTCATGATCTCATGAGTTCTATGGATCAGAAAGCTTAGTTGGGCACTTCTACCTCCAGACCTTCAGTGAGAAAGTAACCAAGATATTATCAGAACGATAGACTGGAGGTACAGTGTGGAGGATCTCTTTCCAAGCTCATCTACATGGCTGTTGGTGAGCTACAGGTCTGTTTCCAAGCTTACTCGGGGGGCCTCTGCAAGACCTGACTCCCAACATGGCAACTGTAGAGGGCTCCATCACAGTGACTGAACTAAGCAGAAGCAAGAGGTGCATTCACAACAGAAGACAATCTGTTTATATCCTTCTCTGGGAAGTGCTATTATATTACTTCTGCAATACACTATTGATCAGAAACAAATCATCAAGTCAGCCAACATTCAACAAAGCATGTAACATAAGAAATAACAACCAGAAGTTGAGCTTCCTGGGAGATTTATAATGAGACTGCCTACCACAGTTACTTACAGCTCTCCTAAGCATTTTGGAGGTTACTTTTGAGGTCTTTCAGGCAGATTTAGAGTATCATGCACTCTAGAGTGATTTAGATCCACTTTAAGGCCTCTTTAGTGGACTCCACTGAAATCCGCATCTGTTTAAGGTTGTTTCACCACAGTAGCTGATGTGAACTCAACACAATTCTCTGCCCTATGTTAAGTATGGATAATGTCTGAAAAGTTGTTCTAACTGTTCCTGGGAAATTCTTCCTGCCAGGCCTTGTGGGTTTCACTCTATGCATGTACGGACAGCTCTAGGCAAAGATTCAAGGTGGTGGCTAATGCAGATGTTTAGAACATCTCTAGGTAGCTTCCTCTTCCCAGGGACTCTGCCCTAAAAATTGTAGCGGCCTTAATTCTCGATTGTTGATTTCCACCTCTGGACATCCAATTAGTTTGGTCTTCTCTATTCAATGCCGATTCATCCTCTCTAAAGCACCATCTGGAAACTGTCTCCAGGAAAAGAGTTTGAATCATAGCAGGACTTTGCTCATCTGTTAACATCTTAGAGGGGAACTACAGTTATATACTACTTGTTATACAATGTCTGAAAATAATTGCTTTTGTCCAGCTTTCTATTTATGATAACAACTCCTGTCACTCCCTCATGGCAAGAAGTCAAATACCTACCCATTGTTAAAAACCAACAATTCTAACCTTGGATGCTGTCCCAAGAAATTCTAATTCACTAAGATGATGCCTGGTAATCAGTTCCAAACTTTTATATTATTTTTTATATACAATCAGGTTTGAGAAGCACTGTAATAGCTAATCCTGTATACAAAGCTATTGAATATAGTTATTATGTTTCTAAATACAGATTTTTTTCTTACCCGCCTATCTTCACAAAGACTTACAAAAGGATGTCTTAGATATTAAACTTCAGTGGATACTAGAGAAGCTTCATCTCATCTGAAGCTTATTTTACTTGGCATCCTGCTTTTATCTGTATCTTCAGGTTTTTAGAAAAAGTTTAACAGGGGCTAGAGAGATGGCTCAGTGGTTAAGAACAATGGTTATTCTCACAGAAGACCTGGGTTTGAATCCCAGCACCCACATGGTGGCTAACAACTGTCCATGACTCCAGTTCCAGGGGATCTGACCGCCTCTTCTGACCTCTGTGGGCACTGCACAACATAGGTGCACTCACCTACATGCAGACAATACACACATACACATAAAATGAAAATAATAAATAAAATATTTAAAAAAAGAAAAAGTTTAACAGAAAACATCTAAAAAAACATTAAATATACAAGCAAAACACAGAATTCTCCTTCTCTTCCTTTTAAATTAAGGGTTGGGTATGGTGGCACACACCTTTAATTCCAGCAGAGACAAGTGGATCTCTGTGAGTTCAAGGCGAGTCTGGTTGAAATAGCAAGTTCCAGGCCAGCTGGGGCTACAGGGAGACCTTGTCTCAAAAAGACAGAAAAGAAAAAAAAAAAAAAATCTTGGATAAGCTTGAAAATGCAAAGCCACCGGCTTTATCATAAATACTAAAAGAGCACACTTATCCTACACTGTATAAAATTTAAAAGTCCACTCACAAAGCACATGGTCAATAGTTAACATAGCACAGAGGTCTCAACTCAGAAAATGCTCCCAAAGTCCTCATTTTAAGGAGGAGTAAGGCTAATTCTTTATCAAAGGAAACTAGATTGAGCTATTTTTCCTTTGGCTATGCTTACCCAAATGAAAGAATTTCACTTCAGTCACACTCTAAAACTGGCTGGGAAAGGGACATAACAAGAGGGCCTCTTGAATACCACAGAAACCAGCTGTCCTCACTCTGTTCCTGGTCTGCATTTCCATAACGGCAAAGAAGAGCAATTCCAAATTTTGTTTATAATGGAACAGCAATGCCATGTCCTTGTGCTACAGTGTGACAACGTAGCTCCCAATGAATCACACTTCTCTCAACTCGTGCCTGTATAGACACACATTTAACTATATATATATATGTCTGTGTGTATGTACACATGAGTGCAGATGCCCAAGAAGACCAGCAGAGGGTGTCAGATCCCCTGGAGCTGAAGTTACTGGTGGTTCTGAGCCACCCCACATGGGTACTGGGAACTGAGCGTAGGTTCTTTGCAAGAGTAGTATGTACTCTTAACCACTGAGCCATCTTTCCAGCCCCTTAAAGTCTTTAGGTTTTAAAGCAAAAGATGAAATATACCAACTACATACTCAGAGAGATACTCAAGTTGTCCAGAAGAACACCAGACTTTACATTTATAATTTACTTTAATTAAGAATGCAATATTTTAGCAAACAAATCTTACATATATCCCTGACATAGTCGTTTGCCAACTTGAGACGTGGGTTACTCTGAAGAAGAGGACTTAACTTTCAGGTTCTGAAGTCCCCAGAGTCTTCAGTGGTCCCAGGTACTTACCTGCATGGGGGATACAGCGGCCGCAGGAGGGGTTTTCATAGGACTTGGACTCAGAGGCGTTCGAGGAATTGTAGCTGCAGCAGGGTTTGGTACTACAAAAATAACAAACGAACAAGTAAATAGCAAACATCATGGTGCAGTGGAAACCTTCACTGGTCTCCATATAAGGATTCATAAGATTAGTCAATGTTCTCCAATCCTTCTGGAAGCTTTCTTGGACAGTGTCTAGCCTATGCTGAACACTCACAGCAATGGCCTGAGACAGTGTTTCTTCTACCAAGCGAAAGGTTTGCTTCCTGGGTCAATACTTTGTTTTTGCTGTTTAATCACACTGTATAGCTAAAGTGCTCCATAAACCAATAAAATCCAAACTTAAAAAAGAAAACAAGAGGATTAGGTAAGTATAGCTCAGTGGTAGAAAACTTACCTAGCATGCATGAGGCCCTAGGTTCAATCCCAGGATTGCAAACAATGAAACAGAAAGTTATCTTTCCTAACTTTTTCCTATAGAATTGATCACTTGACCATATTTTCTGATTTGCATTTCATATATAAATATGATTGTACATCAGTCTTCTTTAGGTATAACTGTTCAAAAACTTTATTTTTCTCTAATTCACTAATTTATCAATTCCTATATACTTGTAACTAGTACACATGTTAGTAAAGATTGCATGAAATGATTATTCTAAAACATGGCTATTTATTCGAAGATGAGTTAAATTTGAAAAACTGGTCACACAAATGAACTCTGGCATATTACAGTGTGGCAAGACGAAAGCAATCACTCAGGACCATTTCATACAGCTGAGTACTTATATTTCGAAATGATAACTTTAGAGGTATTCTTTTATTGAAAGAAAATTCACATAAGATGAAACCATTTTTAAATGTACTTTTCATGGCATACAGTGCATTTACAATATCATACAACCATCACCCCTACCTAGTTACAAAATATTTTCACCACCCCAAAAAGGAAGCCCTGTATCCATTCAGGAGCCACTTCCCATGCATCCTTCCAAGCCTCCATCAATTATGAATATAGTCTTTGTCTCTGATCCAACCTATACTCCTGCTGCACATTTCAGATAAATTCAATCACACAATGTGTGGCCTATTGTGTCTGGCTACTTTTCCTGAGCATAATGTTGTAAATGTACACCCATATAATAGAGTAACAGTTCTTCACTCCTTATACTGGGATGATATTCCATTGTACAAAAAGAAGACATTCTGATCATCTGTTCATCTAAAGTATGAACAAAAGCTGCTTCTACTCTTGGCTGCTGTGAATAGTGCTGATCTGAACATCTAGGAAAGCATTGTTTAAATATTTACTTTCAATTGTTTTATAAATAAGAATGGAATTCTTGGGTTACCTGGATGTATTTTATTATAAAAAATTTAATCTGGCTTTTAAAAAATACCAATATAGAAACATATGTATCTTTTCTGCATTAAAACCTGTTTTGTTAGTATTTTGAACAATCTCACAATTTAAAAAAAACTTATTTTTATTTTATGTGTCTGAGTGCATTGCCTGCATGTGTGTAAGTGCACACATGTCATGCAATGCCTGTGGAGGTCAGAAGAAGGTATCAGATCCCCTGGAACTAGAGTTACATATGGTTGTTAGCTGCCATGTAGGTGCTGGGAATTGAACCCAAGTCCTCTGTAAGAGTATAATCAATGCTCTTAACCACTGAGCCATCTCTCCAACCCCAATGCCACAATTTTTATTTACTGTAAATGTCATCATCATTTTATACTAGAAGAACATATTGAAGACATCCTTCCTATAATTTAATATAAATACAGAGGCTAGCAAGATGGCTCAGGGGTTAAGGGCATGCACTGCTCTCAAAGAGAACCTGAGTTCAGTTCCCAGCATCTATCCTGGGCAACTCAAAACTGCCTATAACTCTAGCTCAAGAAATGGAAGGCCCTCCCTGGGTACCCAAACTCATGTACATATAACACACATATACATAACTGAAAATAAAAATGAATCTTACTGTAAATACATATAGCTATTTATGTACTTTTAAGAAGGAAAATAAGAACCAGCACAGTGGCAAACACCTATAATCTCAGTACTTAAGAGACTGAGGCAGAGCAATCACAAGTTTGAGGCCAGACTGGGTTGCTTAGCAAGTGTTCCAGATCAGTCTGGAGTACATGATAAGACCCTGTCTCAAAAAAGAACACACACACCACACACATACACACATACCTACAAGTTTTATAAAAAACTGCAACAGTGGAACAAGTGGTAGAGAATAGTAATGCATCTCTCAACTCTCATCAGAGAAGCTTTCTCATGCAACAGAGGGTGATGAACATAGAAGGCCACAACTGGCCTTCTATGTGTAAAGAGTAAGAGACTGCAGAATGCGTGTCCCTGGATAGGACTCCTATATTAAACCTCAGCCACAGGGCTCAGGGACCAGCGGAAGAGGGAGGCGGAAAGATTATAAAAGTCAGGGGTGGTGCATGACCATAAGGAAACAGTCTTACAAATCTTGGGACCTTGCTCATATGATCTTACAACAATGGTCACAAGACCCATGCAAACTCAATCAGATAAAAACCAGTACAGAACTGGAGAAATGGACAGAAGGCCCCAACCTTAGCCACAGAGTTATTGGCAGCTGATCATTGCTGGGTGAGGGAGAACTGGTCTTCTTTAATAGAGTGACACTAAATAGGCTGAACAGACTCCAGTGGATAAACTCACATGGAAAGACAGCTAGGTACACAAATTTAACTTGATAGGCTTAAACATGTAAGACAGAATGTATGAAATCCTCTGAGTGGGGCTATAAGGAGGTGCAGATCAGGGTGGTCTAAATACGATTAAAATGTACTGCATGAAATCCACAAAAATTCAGTAAAAATTATACACTCAAAAAAATTAGAAAACTCAAAAAAATTCTCCTTATGGTAAGACTGACTCATAATACATGAAAGTTAATGAGACTAAGAAAGAAAGATAGTTAAAAAATATCAAAGTAGGTTAGAAAACATGACATACAAACAGAACCACAGGCCTTGGGCAGAATGGACAAGGAATTACCTTGAGATGCACTGTCGAAAGACTTGATGAGGGTTTTTACTGTGGGCGTTGGCTCTGAGGAAGCCGAGGACCTTCTACTCAGTCCCATCCCTTGCCTTAAGGCTGCCAAATCTCTCTCAACAGCATTCATGTAGTTGTAAACCCGGCCTCGCTCCTCCTCTTGCCTAACAAAAAAAAACTCAGGTTGTCAGACTTGGCAACCAGCAAGTCAAGTGCCTTAACCACCTGAGCCTTCTCGTTTTTTTTTTTTTTTTTTTTTTTTTAAACTGTACCGGTTGAGCAGAGCAATTGCCTGGTCTAATATTCTTTGCCTGGTAAACACTAGGAAATGATATTAAAATTTTCATATCAAGTTATCCTAAGTAAGTTAAATAACCATCAAATTCCATTTTCATCTAAGTTAAGTGTCAGGTGAGGACATCAATAATCAATTAGCAGTAAACTGGGAGGCAGACTGGCCATAGGGCCTGACTCAACTGGGAATCTCTGCCAGGAAGACACAGCTCTTCCCAGGCACCTGGGAATTCACCAGCACATTCAGATTGTCTACGCAGGTTCTAGCTAAAATGCTCTGCTTAGATATGGAGATAAAGGAATGGAATCAAAACTTGTGCTCCTAAAGAACAAAACAAAACTGCTGTAGTATCCAAAGAGAATTTCTACAAAGAAAAAATAAAAACAAACAAACAAAAGCCAGGCTCCATATTAGTAACATGAGACCCCCTAGCAGCTCAGCGTGACTCATCCTGAGTCATCAAAAAAGCAATTCTATTTCATTTCTGGCCCTCTCTTACTCACTGAATTGACTAACAAAAAAGTTTCGTGTAGAATGAGGTAATTGTAGCCTTTGCACATGTCATAAAACTATGAAGTAGGCTTCGACGGACAAAAACCAATCTGGCTCTTCTGGCAGTTTTTTGTTTTTGTTTTTGTTTTTTCCAGGCTTAAGCACCTCCACACAGACCTTGCTCAGTTAGATGTCATGAAGAGAAGCTTTAAATAATCTGGAACAGTAATATTAGAGCCCCTACCCCACTTCTAAAAATGATTTAGGACCCTGAAATTTATGACTCTAAAAGACTTTTGTTTATAGTTAGTATCTGTTAAATTAACTAAAACTATGAAATACATAAAATATTTAATTCAGGCAGTGGTGGTGGCACATGCCTTTAATGCCAGCACTCAGGAAGCAGAAGCAGATGGGTCTCTGTGCATCTACTGCCAGCCTGGTCTACATAACAAGTTCCAGGCCAGCGAGGGCTACATAATAGGACCTTATCTCAAAGAATTTTAATACATCTAAATATATTTTATGAAAAATTTTATTTTCCAAAGCCCCCCAAAATTAAGAGTAACAGTGCCTTACTTTAAAAAAAAAAAATAACGTATTTACTGTCTGCTAGGAAGACAATTATAATCGCATCTCTTCTCTATTCAATGTGCTGAGATATGAAAAATGCAGATCTCAAACAGATGTGTGATTAGAAATGGGAAGAATATCTTAATAGTCTTTTCAGATAGATAACTGGAGCTATTCTACAGCATAACAATGGACAGCTATTATTAAGTCAGTTACTGAGTGATGAGCCCTTGCCTAAGCAGATAAAGGCCCTGAAAAATAAAGCTAGCTGCACGCTGGAGCCATAGCTCAGTAGTACAGCAGTTGCTGAGCATGAATTGGGTCCTATGTTTGAGTCTAATCACTTCCGAAAAAAAAAAAAGGTTAGTCATGCTGTAGAAAATGAAGCCATGTAAATAAATTTTCCTTCCCTACCTCTTAAAACCCACTAGTCTACTGCTACTTTGAAAGGCACTTCTATTTGAAAGGCCTATGATTCTGTAACATCATGCATTTATCATAAGAAAAATACTGGCTTACTGCATTACACAGGTTTTTCAAATGCCTTTCGTTGTATAATACATAATTGCTATCACTGATGATATCACCAAAAACTTTTTAGGACAATGAGCTGGCTCAGCAGGGAAAGGTGTTTGCAACCAAGCTCAACAACCTGGGCTCAATCCCAGGACATACATGGTAAAAGGAGAAAACCAATTTCTGCAAGTTGTCCTTTGACTTCCACATGTGCACCAGGGCTTGTCACAGGGCCAGACACAGACACACACACATACATAAATAAATAAATGTAATTTAACGATTTTTTAAAAAATATTAGAAGTTGGCAAGCTTGCAATGGTAGATGGAAGCTTTCAAAAATTCTAATATTTACTTGAATACCCACATTTAATCAAAAACAATGAACACCATCAGTAATTTTCCTTGAAAGGGTGTTAATCATTTTCAAGAAACTTCCTACTAAGTACCAGTGTTTGCAAGGCTGCAGTTTGTCTTCCACCATTCTTAAATAAAAATGGCATTCCATGAAAAGAGAAAAGCAGCTCAAACTAAAGTAATCCAGTGCTCACCTCAAGAGAGCCTCAGATGGGCATAGAAGATGAAGCAGAAGTATATCCACCATACTTCCCACTCTGTCACACGGAAGGTTGAAAACAGGGCATTTCAGGACTGAGATTTAGTAAAATTAATACTTTACCCCTTCAGGAAGGGTATCTTTAGGTGAAACCTTTGTTTTCTTTCATTTTAGAGGGTTCTGAACTTTAAAAAAATGGCCAACAACCTATTATGAAAACAATACTAACTACAAGGGTCTTGCAGAATTCCAGGAGTTGGCAGATGTCACCCTAACAATCACTATTGTACATGATGCTGCCTCTTTTGCAAAGCATTTCTTTAAAATATAAACACTAATGAACTTTCAGGATCCAGTGGAGTAAAATTTTAGTGCTGGGAGTATAGCTCAGTGGCCAAGGAGTTTTCTAGCATATGTAAGGCCCATATGAACTTCAGTCACTCAGTATAACTCTGAAATGGGGTATTTCTGATAAGCTATTCACTTAATACATACACAGAGGGAAAAAGGGATATAAATTTTATACCAGTGGAAAATCATTCTGCCTCATTCCAAGTTCTACGTAAGAGAGTCAATGAAAGGCACTTAGCAAGTCTTCTCTAGCCCACACTGTAGAGCTAAGCAATAATAAAATAAAAGCCTTTTGAAGATATGTTTTTCCAGTTTTCCCCCTATACCTAAGTAGCAATTATTCAAAGTAAAGGCTAACCAAATTTTAGTAATGACACTAAACACAAACGTTCTCTCCCCACTCAGATGAAGTCTCACTGTGGAGCTCAGAGCATATCACAGATTTCCCCTCATCTAATAATTTTTATGGATTTCCTATGATCTCTGTGTTAGATGGGGTGGGGATGGGGATGTACTACTTTGGAGGATATGGAAAAAAAAAGAAAATTCTTCAAGTGAGTGATGGAACAAAACTGTTAAACTTACTTTTCCAAAAATAGCAGCTAAAGTTTACTGATCACTGCTTTGAGCACTCTGTAGGCCTTATCTCACTTGGACCTCACAATACTACCAGGCAGCTAGTATTGCCTTTGTTTTACAGATGAGAAAACCAAGGTACAGAGACATTAAGACTGCTGACCAAGACCACACAGCTAATAAGAGGAAGGCCTGGACAGAAGCCAACCCTGCTCATAAGTCTACAATCTAAAGAAAAACAAGAGGACTGGACTGTGAGAATCAAGAGAAGAAATAGCATTAGTACCACAACACTAAATTGAGGTTGAAGTGTTCTTTCCTGAAACATAACACACAACTGGTTTCACAGAACATACTTGCGTGACTTTATTTCCTCCAATTCTTTTGTGAGTTTCTCATTTTTTTCTTGAGCCTCGTGTAGCCGTCGTTTTAAATCACCAATCTCCTCTTGGGCTTCCGACTTGATGTCATTTGCAATGACTACTGCAGTCTGGAGATCAGCCTGAAACTGCCGCCATTCTGCAGATTCTTCCTATATTAAAACACTGAATTTTTATTTCCAAAAGAAAGCAATGACGATTTATTTAAAAGCAATAAAATCTGTTTGATTACTCTGCTCTAACAAGTCATATTCTTAAATGATGACAGTTTTAAAACCCTATAGCTGCTGTTTTCTATTTCTAACAGACAAAGCAACTATCATCAGTGAACTTATTCTTAATAAAGATTTGTTATCTGATCTTCCTACTAAGGCATCAAGCACTCTCTGAGTGCTCAATAAATATTAATGAGAAAAAAATGTTATGACTTCCCTTCCTCATGCAAGTTTCAAAGCAAGTCTTATGAAAACAAATACCATCAAAAATTTAGTACTTTACCTCTGGCAATCTCAAGAAGGTATAGAAATGGTATGTGAAACATAAGATGAAGAACTATAAATATCCTGACATCAAAAACTCACCAAAAAAAAAAAAAAAATCCAAAGTAAAGGAAAAGGAAGAGGAAGCCAGAAGAAAAACACTGAACTCAATACAGGCAGACAAAATTACACAAAGAGGCTGTAAGGAACTGTATGGTCTGGTGCTTCCCACAGTCATGGGGGATGCGGGTGTGGCTGAGTGGGGAAGTCTCCCCAGCATCTCACCTCCCCCAGAGCCACAGTCAGGCCTGGCCTGGGCCCTCGCACCCTCAAAGCAATTTCCTGATGTCATGAAGGCAGTCACAGCAACTGTGGCACGACCTGACGTATGATTAACATTCTCCCTCCGCATCTTAGCAGCACTGCAATTGACAAGCTAATCCAATCCAGAGAATACAGAAAACACATGTAAAAACAGCCTCGTTGGGGTAATTTACGATCAAAAGCTAACGAGCTGGGCATGGTGGCACACGTCTTTAACCCCAGCACTCGAGGAGGCAGAGGCAAGTGGATCTCTGTAAGTTCAAGGCCAGCCTGGTCTCCATAGTGATTTCTAGGACAGCTGGGGCTACAGGGAGACCCTGTCTCAAAAAGACAGAAAAAAAAAAAAAAAAAGCTAATGAACTTCTTTTTCAAAATGTAACACATTTTCTTAATTTTTCCTAAAATCACCATCAATAAATTACTAGTACATTCTTCTACCTTAAATGCAGTATCAGTCCCAACTTAAAATAATGGCATTTGCTTTTGTCCAAGGCCCAGGGTGTGTGTGTGTGGGGGGGGGTGTCAATATCTCATTGATCTACCAGTTAAGGTAAATGATGATACAGTCAATGTCCACAGCTCAAATTTCAGAAAGTCATGTTTTCTAACGAAATAACACACAAAGATTTATCCTACCCGAAGTCTCCTATGAAGTGTCTTGATTTCTCTTTCCATGTCATGCTTCTGGTCTTGGAGTTTTTTAACTGTATCTGAAAAGACCACAAAAGTTTAAATATTCCTACTTAAACATAATGCTTCTTAATGAATTCAAATGTTCAAAAGGAATTATATAAAAAGCACTTAAATGTGACATTCAAAGACTGCCCTAAGACTTCTTTTATTTTTATTGCAAAACTTTAAAAGTATGAAAATGCTCAATTCAAATATTAGTTTCTGCACCACTTCCTAAGTAAACTAAAAGGAATTGTTAGAAACTTACACACTGCTGTCACAAAACCAATCAAAACAACATTGACTGCTATTAAAATGTGAACTTTTAAAAAATATTTTATTATTTTTATTTTTTTATGTGTACAAGTGTATTGCCTGAGTGTATTGCCTGAATGTATGTGAGTGCATCTGTGTCATGCAAAGCTGCAGAGGTCAGAAGAGGGCATCGGATTCCCCTGGAACTGGAGGTAAGGACGGTTCGTAGCCACCATGTGGGTGCTAGGAATCGAACCTGGGTCCTCTGCAAGAGCAGTCAGTGCTCTTAACTGCTGAGCCGTCTCTACAGCCCCTAAAATGTGAACTTTTAATCACAGAAGCTATTAATTTAAATTATGCAAGCATAATTTCCTTTCCACACTGAAATAATTCAAGAACAGCAAAATTAGTAAAAATTATTTATACAACTGTAATACAGAAAGATATCAATTAATTCTATGTAATGGAGCCATAAATATAATAGGAAATCACATTCTATTTGGAAGGAGGTTCTGATCATGGATTTTAAAATCCATGCACACAGGAAGAATACGGTAGGAGGGCACCATGTTGTAACTGTCCCTCTGTACATTTATCATACTGGTTACTCCAATAGCTCAAGAACCAACCACTTTCCAGTTAAGCACCAGAAAAGGCATTCATATATGGTAATGATCATCTTTTACTATGATTTTTACCTACAATGCTAGTTCCCTGTCTATTCTGATTCATATTCATTCATTTTCTCTCTTTCTCTCTTCCTCTCCTTCCTTTTCTTCCTCTCCTCCTCTTTCCTTCCCCTCTCCCTGACCCTACCCCACACCCCTCAACAAGCCCAGGGCCTTGTACATGCCAGACACAAGCTACCAACTCCATCGTATTTCTTTATACACCTGTCTCTATCACTTTACTGAAAACACTTCAAAGGTCTGGAGCTATGTTTCAATGACTTCACAGCTCCAGTACTCTGCATATAGTAAGCTTTTATTAAAATAGTAGGCTTTTAGCCAGGCGTGGTGGCGTACGCCTTTAATCCCAGCACTTGGGAGGCAGAGGCAGGCGGATCTTTTTGAGTTCGAGGCCAGCCTGGTCTACGTAGTGAGTTCCAGGACAGCTGGGGCTACAGGGAGACCCTGTCTCAAAAAGACAAAAAATAAATAAATAAAATAAAATAAAATTTAAAAAAATAGCAGGCTTTTAAAACAGAATATATGTGCAAATATGCAATGGTAGCAATAAGGAAGAAAAATACGAAGATCATCATTACATGGGATTTTTTTCCTAAAAATTGGTATTCTGTTGACAGAACTTAATTATCAATTCTCAGGGACGTCATGACTACATATTACTCGTGTGTAAATAACATCCTATCCCATTCCTTAGCCTTAGTAACAAGGAATCCAGACACAGTGAAATGACATGAAATTAAATGTTTCCCTTCAATTAACAGAGTGTTCACTTTGAATCAAGACGCTAAAGTATGAGCATGCTGATGCTTTTTTCCTAGACAGTTCAGCATCTTCTTAACCCTATTATTAGGACCTTCCTCCTCTGAGACATTATGCTTTTCATTTAATGTTGGTTCATTTAATGGTCTGATCTGGAGGTGGGAGAGGCACACAGTATTGAGCATAAAGCCCAGGGCCTTGTACAAATTTTTGCAAGTCTTTTCAACCACTCAGGCACGTCTCCAGTGGTGCTATTTCAAAAATCATTACTACATGTGTGTGATCCATGTGTGTAAGAGTGCAGGAGTGCGTGTGCCACAGCACATGTGTAGAGGTCAGAGGACAGCTTTAAGGAGTTGATTCTTGCTTCCATTGTGGGTTCCAGAATCAAATTCAGAATCTTAGACTTGCAAAGCAAACTCTTTTACCCGTTGAGTCATTTCACAGACTCATTGTGTGTGTGCACGTCTGTGTGTGTGTGTGTGTGTGTGTGTGTGTGTGTGTATGTGTATGTGTGTGTATGTGTGTGCATGTTTGTTTGAGACAGGGTCACACTATGTAGCCTGACTGAACTGGAACTCAATATGTAGACAGGGTTATCCTTGAACTCCCAGAGATCCACCTGTCCCTGCTGGGATTAAAGGCATGCACCATCAAATGGCATAAATTAACTTCAGTAACAACACATTTATATGTATTATTATTATAAGCATCAAATAATATTTTCTAAAGTTAGATAAAATGTGCCAAAAAAATAATGGAGAGGCACAGAATACAATGAGGTAAAATGGGTGACAGAGGGACAGACTCATCTTGGTGTAGCTGGTGGACATTGCCCCAAATTGCTTAACAAAGTCAGGTGCCATGAAAATAAAGTATTCAAAATTTACTCATTAATTGAATGACTATCTCATAAATATAAACAATGAATCGGGTATTTTTTCCTAGATGATGAAGACATTAAAAAAAAAAAAAGATTGTTTCCACCCTTTTAGAGATAAAAAGGCCAATGCTTGTGTTCAGGTAGCAAAGGGGGATGACTTCATATGCAAATCTTACATTTTAAGACTGCTTCCTGAGCAAGCTACTTGAAACCTCATCCTTGCCTCTGAAACCAGCAAGGGAACTTGGCTTCTTGTGACCTCACACATGGATGAATTCAGGATTTGGATATTATCAGACACAGGTAAAAGTAATGACAGAAGCTAAAAATACTAGGAGTTACGCCTTTCCTTTTACTGAATCCATTTATGTATAAGAGATTTTTTCTTTTCCTTCTGAGGCAGGCCCTTACTACGTAGCCCTGGCTAGCCTGAAACTTGAAACGTAGACCACAGTGGCTGCAAATTCACAGGGAGCCACCTGTTCAAGAGATATTTTATAATAAAAATAGACACACAAAAACTATTGAGGTACATAATTTCTGTTGAAACTATTTCTAAATATTGTTTTCCTTTTCTTCTGGTCACAAAGGACATGTCTACTTTTCTTTAGACATAATTCACACCAGACAAATTTTATCACAGTTCGCTTTTAATGCCTGTCATCTTGAAAAGGGTGGCACACACCTTTAAACCCAGCAGAGGCAGGTGGATCTCTGTGAGTTGAAGCTAACCAGTCTACATAATGAGTTCCAGCTACATACTGTGACCCTTGACTCTTTAACATACTCATTTTAGACGAACTATAAAATTCTGCATTCCGCTCACTTCTTTTGTCCTCATGCTTTTTTGTTTCTTCAGTCCCTACGTTCATAACCACAGACTTCACACAATCACATTCTGCTGCTATGCTACACATTTATTACTGTCACATCCTGTTGCTATTGTTTTCAAATGAAAGGACAGCTGGTAGCCAGTCAACATATTTAAACAGCATAAAGTACACTAAAAGTGTCTTCAGGAAATTCGATTTAAATTTTATGATCATGTCTGCATTTTGCTTTGAAATAAAGTGTTACAAATGACGATATACTTTTCCTCCCTGAACACAAAGGAGTTTATATTTAAGTCCTTATTTTAAAAGACTACCTGGCAAAACTGCTATCAAGTACAATCGATGATCATACAAGAAGGCAGATTATTCCTACTCAGGAACCTCTAAATAACTTCCCTTCCTCTTCAGTTTCCCTAGTGTGAGAGACACTGCCACCTACTGCCTTCAATTCAAATTCTATCAAAAGCATCTATCTCCTTGTTTTTAAACACAAATTATACCTCTATTTTTACAGTGCTATTTTTACTCTAGAAATCGAATAAATTGTTGTTTCATTATTACTAGACTCAATTTTATGCTGATCAATTCTGGGCACTCCACTTCTTGGTTAATAATGGGCTTCATAACTATCTCACTACAACAACCTGTAGTCCCTGACAAATAAAAATGCTTGCTTTGGTTATATGCCTACCAATCATGGAGATGTTACCAAGGAGTTACCATGGGCCCAGGCTCAACCTGTAACTCCTGAAGACTTATTAAAATAATCAAAGCCCATAACAACTTTCCTGTCCTCTGAAGCCCAGTAAAATCCTCAGGGTACTGCCTTCAATCACATAGCCTTCCACCTAATCTAGCATTTCCCACTGAATGAAGTGGGATTTTCAGAGGAAGAGAAAGATCCAGAGTAAACAATCTATTAAAAAATGGGCAAAGCAGATGGTGTGTAAAGCTTCATTCCCAATCTGAAAAAGACATATGAGTTTCAAATAAGCCATATACTTTTATTTTTTATTTTTATTATTATTACTAATTGAATTTTTGCGATTTACTTAGACTACAATTTGATGGTATTTAGATCCCCCACCCACACCTCCCTTACTGTCCCCACTCAATTTAATGTACTTTATTACATACATATATAAAATAAGGCCTATAGAATCTAATTCATGTTCCCAAATGTCCTTCAGTATGGGTTCATCCACTGGAGCCTGGTTAACCTACCAAGAGTCCCATCCTTGAAAGAGACAGACTCTCCCCCTCCCAGCAGCCATCTGTTGTCAAAAGTTCCTTAGGTTGGGTTGGATTTTCTTACCTACTTCCCATGTCTATGCTTCGATTTTGTCTGGTTTGAACTTGACAGGACTTGTGCATGCTGTCACCATTGTTGTGAGTTCATATGAGTAACTGACCAGCTATCTGGAAACTGTTTCTTTGTGGTCATTCACCACCTCTGGCTCTTATACTCTTTCCACCTTTTCTTCCACAATGATCCCTGAGACTTGGGAGGCAGGAGTTTGATATAATGTCATACACAGTCAGGAATAAGTACTCTGCAGCCTCTTGTTCTCTGCACATTGGCCAGTTGTGGGATATCACCATCTGCTGCATTAAGCAGC